CTGAGCTGGACACACTACAAAGGTTTTAATACTTGACAGTTCCAGAAAAAAACTTTCCTGATATCAAATTAGCAAAAATCCCTCTGTGATGATTATGTGTAAGACACATTATTATCTATAAGTAGATAATAATTACTGTAGTATACTTATAGAAAATTTAAGGCAAAAAATGAAGTAACTTGCGCAAAGCCCCAAAGATCAACAGTGCTGACATTTCTAATAATAAAAGTCAAGTAACTCTTAATTCCCAGTTGTATTCACTCCACAGCTATCCTAATGGTTTTTGCTGTTGTATGAATGAAACTGCTTTTTCTCCTTGGAGACAGTCATTATTTTGAAACAATTCTCCTCCCTTTCCCCCTCACCTGCTAATTATCTCTTAGGGAAAAAAATGAAACTCCAGCTGTGGGAACATAGATAGGGCTGTGTCTTGTTCTAAGAAAATCGCTTCAGGAAAAAGATCGGTGAATGGTTATCAAACTGCAGAGTGGATTCTGACCCGCTGCAGAGTCACTCTGTAGCATGTCTCACAGCAGATAAGCTATGGAAAGCAACAAAATACAGCTTCTCGTGGTCAAACAGCAGATGGTCACAGATAACTCCCAACAGCGGATATCATAATGAACCACTACTTCCTATATCAACATTGCTAATATTTTTCTCTAAACAACTTCTCCCCTCTGACTTGGCTAGTTCAATGACTGAAATATCTAAAGACTGGATTTTGCTGCCGTTGGGTTGACCTTCTGAAAGTGTCCACCGTGTCAAAAAATCACATGTAATAGTTGAAATACACACATCTTTGCATGTGGAAAAGAACACATTAAAATTCTGGCCAATGATGGGTAACAAACTGGATGTAAAGTACAGAAAAAACATCAAGACTCTGTGGGTAGAAACTTGAGGGTAGCTGCTCAATTGGCTTTTGACACATCAAAATTATAAGCAAATTCTTAGCTGAACCGTATTGCAGTAATACTATTATTGTGCCTTCAGCTGAACTACTTCAAGTGGAAAACTGGAAGTTCTTCTAAACTAAGTAGGGTTATCTTGGGTCAACCCCTGAATAGAAAATGTATGTGCTGTCAGAATTGGTGCTGGCAATTCATTAGATAGCTTCCCAGTGGTCCTGAAGGAAGAAGAGCATAGCTGGTTCTTAGATGACGCCTGACACTGTAATAACCTTCTTTTGGGTAAGACGGATAACAAGTTTGTGACAATTTGTTGTCCCTAAATACTGTGCCATGCATCTTATGAATGGATATAGCTTTTATACACAGTTGGAAGAAGAGAAGCAGAATATCTCTCAGGGTGTCATGTAATGTTGCATCCACTGCAACAGCACTCCAGCTGAGGGAATTTTTCAGCTCTTTTTGGAGTTCTTGGCTCCATATTCTATTTTTCCAACTGCTTTCTACATCCACAAAGGAAACATGGGAGAAGAAAGCCCAAACTGGTAACATATAGTAGCTATCACTGTTAGCTCCCTGTATGATACTCTTATTGCACTATGAGTGCCTGCAAAAAGTGCTCCACTGCCTGAAAATGTCAAGACTTGGATTAATCCTACCAGATTTCAGACATTTGGAACCACTAATGGCAATGGAGATTGGCACCTCTAGTCTATCCAAAGCCTGAAATGCTCTGAGACAACCGTACAATTAACTTAAGAGTTATAGAGGACAACTACTATGGCCTTCCAAAGAAAGAATAAAGCATTCTTTGTTTTCCCTGGATGAGTGGCTAAATATTAAACTGGCTGAATCTGGCCTCTGAATGCATGATAAGGGCATGAGAACTGAATGTGAAAGAGACCTTGTACTTGAAATTCAGGCCAGGTATTTTGTCCTCGTGCCCATGTGAATTCCCGTGCAAACCAGTGCTTTGCCTGTTACCTTGAGCTCCCTGCTTCTTATGTTCATAGTTACTCTTGTATAAATTATAAGCACTTTGTGACAGGAACAATCGTTTTTCATTAATATGGCCTCTGGCAAGCCTTATCACCACCAGTATCATGCTGCCAGTAACTAACAGCATTTCCAGCCTCAGCACTTCATGAACCACAAGATTTCAGACCCTGGTTCTCAGGCTGGTTGGCCTTGTGGACCTTTGTGGGCCCCTCAAGCACCAATGTGTGCCCTCCTATGTCCAGAGAAGCAATGAGAGCTCTGTGCTAGCTGGCAAGTGACAACAGTACCTTCCTTCGCAGATGGGCTTGACAGCAGCGACTCCTTCCAGAAGCCTCTTGTGGGAAGCGATACACAAACCCCAGGAGCACAAGTCTGTGACCTCAAGTGCCCAGCCTGGTCCAACACGTTATGCAATTTGTTGAAATCCTGTTGGCTTTGGAGTTAATAATTCACCTTTTGCCTTCCATTTCCAAACAAGGTCTTTATTTGCATGGCACAGGGTAGATTAATCACATTATTTGCAACTGTTTTGAACTACTGTCACCCAGCCCATGTGGGGGTGAAACCGTGGCCACCGCACACATTTCTTAGGACAGCGGCAGAGGGCCCGCTAGACCTCTCCCCTGACACAAATACCCTTCTTTGTGCCCAGCAGTACCTACAGAACCCCAGAAGGCGCGGAGGCCGGGCAGAGGAAGACGCCAAAGAAGGCGAGGCTGGGGCGCACGGCCCCCGGCAACGCGGCGGTTAACGGCAAGATGGCGCC